TGATGGGTGTCTTAGGGTCCAGTCTTCAAGTTTCCATCAGTAGTAAGTCTGCTCTTTGTAATGATTTTGAATTTTGTTCTATATTTTTTTTCCCTCCCTTTCTGTTCAGGACCTTCTATTGTGATCCCAATCAGAGCAGTAGGTAGTGGTAGCTGGGCACCATCTAGTTCTTCTGTTCTCTGAGTACTGGAGGTTGTGGTCCATTAATCCTTTGGACTAATTGCTTCCTTGAGTCTTTTATTTTCCTCACTCATCTTTGTGCTGGGTGAGGAGAGATCAATAGTTGCATCTTAGGTAGCCACTTGCAAGCTTTTAAGACCCAGTCACTACACACCAACGCAGGATATAGAACATTGTCTTTGTAAACTGTGTTATGCCAACTGATCTAGTTGTCCTCTGAGACTAAGACCCAAACTCCCTAAGACCAGTGACTCATTCACTCAAGGTTTTTTATTATGGCTAAGAAGTTTTCAGAACATGCCCTTTATTCTCTACAATATCCTTGGCTATATTTACAGCATATACAAATACATATATAGAAATATCCTCTGCCAACCATATGTCTCTATCTCTATCTCTATCTCTATCTTTATATATAACCAAACTCACTGCCGTCAAGTCAGATCCAACTCATAGCGACCCCTCCTTGGTTTTCTGAGGCAGTATCACTACAGAAGCAGATTCCCCAACCTTTCTTACTACACACACACACACACACACACACACATATATATATATACACACACACACACATATTTGTAGGTATACTTCCATTTATCTTCCTACATCTGTTCAGCTGCATGTCTTGTGTATCTACTTGTAGATATTGTTTATTATTACTATTTTTTGCACGATGTAGTAGTATTTATCTTTGTCGCCTTTTAGTCTTGTGCACCTTCCAGTGTCTTCCTTTGCCATTGGTCATGTTGTGCTGCCCTCCCCCTTAGTGTATATTGCCTTTCCCTTCACCCAAGTTAATATGTGTCTGCTCTCTAATTAGTGATTTGCACTCCTTTTTTCTCCCATCTCTGGTAACCATCAAAGAATGTATCTTTCTGTGTGTAGACTTTTCTTGACTTCTTATAATAGATATTCTTATCATGTCTTCTTATCATAGATATTTGTGATTGACTAATTTCACAGAATAATGTTCTCCAGGTTTATTCATGTTGTGAGATGTTTCACAAATTCTTCATTATTTATTTATTTATTTAAAAAAACTTTCTATTGTGGTTTGGGTGAAAGTTTACAGAGCAAATCAGTTTTCCATTCAACAATTCATATATATTTTGTTTCATGTCATTGGTTGCAATCTATTCAGTATTCTTTAATGTTGTGTAGTATTCCATTGTGTATATGTAACCATTCATCAGATGATGGGTACTGTGGTAGTTAAGGGTATATGTCAACTTGGATGGGCCTGGTTTTGAATGGCTGGCAGCTGGATGGAGTGATTCCCATGATGAGACTAGTAGTCAGCTCCATGTTGGAATCTGTTGTGAGCAGCTGAATAGCTGTTTTAGGAATGTAGTCTTCTTCCAGTATATAAGAAGAAGCTTTAAGAAAGGTCTCTGAGCTTCTTGGCATGCTTGGACCGTGCATGTATCTGCCATGTTTCCTGTTGATCTTGGGACTGTTTCTGGACTTGAACTAGTGGCCTGCCATGTTGCTTAATAATCTTGGATTGTGCCATTTTACTTGTTGAACTTGGGTTTGTCAGCCTCAGCAGCCAACAGCTGCCTGACTTAAGGAAAACCTCAAGCTTCAGTGGACTGGGACTGAGGGGCAGAGCTGAAGCCCAAGGTAGAGGGGCCTTCACCTAGCCCCTAGAGCTGGCACCTTGAGTTCGGACGTCTAGCCTCCTGAACTATAAGAGCATACATCGCTGTTTATTAAAACCTCCTATTTGTGGTATTTTCTGTTAGAGCATCACTAGAAGACCAAAACAGAATATGGTACTGAGAGAGTGGAGTGCTGTTGTAATAGATACCTGAAATGTGGAAATAGGAGTGAAGCGCATCCTTGGACCCAAGATCCCTGCACTGAGACCAGCTGAGCCAGAGCTACAAGCTTACCAGCCCATGGAGGAGAAAGCTGGATGCCTTTGGACAGGTGGCTTCCTGGCAGAATAGGTTGCTTTGGGCACTAATTGGTGGAGACTTGTTTGAGATGAAGTCACAGGCTTGCCAGCCGGTAGAAAGAGAAAGCTGAATGCCTTTGGCCAGGAAGCTTCTGGGTGAAGTGGGTTGCCTTTGGGGATTAATTGCCAGAAGCTGAGAGACCAAGGAAATGGGAAGCAGAGCTGCCTCAGCCTCAAAGGGTAGGACCATGGCCTCTGGGGGTGGAACCACCACAGCCTCCTAGGTTTCAAACAGTCAGATCTTTACTAACTTGGTTCTGGAGTGTGGGGCTGCCATTTGTGAGGGCTAGTGAGATGGGTCCATAGCTGTTGCCCCAAAGTGATAGGGCAAAGAAACAGGGCCTGCCAGGCCAAGGGTGTGAGGTTTCCACTCAGATGGCCTAGAAGACATAGGCCACCCAATGAGGAGATCTGTATAGGCGCCAGGTTGTACCAAAACAGACACTTAGGTTATTTCCAACTTTTTACTGTTGTGAATGATTCTACAATTAACATGGATGTGTATATATCTATTCATGTCATGGCTCTTATTTCTCTAGGGTGTGCACATAGTAGTGGCATTGCTGGATCAGATGCCATTTCTATTTCCAACCTTTTAAGGAAGCACCATAACATTTTCTACCATTTTATATTGTACCATTTTACAATCCCACCAGAAGAGAGTTCCAATCTGTCCACACTCTTACCAGCATTTATTGTTTTCTGGTTTTTTGAACTTTGCTGTTGTTGCTAGGGTGACATGATGTCTCTTGTTTTGATTTCTATCTCTGTAATGATGAATGATCATGTCCATTCCTTCGTGCATTTGTTGAATGACTGAATGTCTTCTTTGATGAAGTGTCTGTTAGTGTTCTCTGCTCATTTTTTTATTGGATTATTTGTCTTTTTGTTGTTGATGTGTAGAAGTTTTTTATAAATTTTAGAGATTAGTACCTTGTCAGATAATTTTGTTACCAAAAACAATTTCCCTTTGCGTAGTGTAGGTTCTCTTTTCACTCTTTTGGAGAACTCTTTTGATATGCATACGTGTTTAATTTTCAGGAGGTCCCTGTCATCTAGTTATTATCTGCTGTTGTACAGTTTCAGTTGTTTGATAGTCTATTTATGTCATAAGTTAGAGTCCTTAAGCTTGCCCCCATTTTTTTTTAAATGATCTTTATAGTTTTAGGCTTTAAATTTAGGTCTTTGATCTATCTTGAGTTAGTTTTTGTATGTGGTGTGAGGTATGGATCCTGTTTCTTTTTTTTTTACTGTATCTCTTTAAACATTTTTTCTGTGCCCTTTTTTCTTTCTATTACTCTGAAGACTCCAATTATTCATATGTTAGTCTGCTTGAAGTCTTCCCACACCTTATTGATATTTTTCCCTTTTCAGTCTTTTCTTTCTATGTTTCATTTTGAAATAATTTCATAGCTTTGTCTTCAAGTTAATTAGTCCTTTCTCCTGTAGTGTCTAATCTTTTAAAATCCCTTCCAGTGTATTTTACATCCTACACATTGTATTTTTCATGTGTAAAAGTTTAAGTTACACACACACATGGACACACATTATATATATACTTTGTCATAGTACATATATTTTTTTTCTACTTTAAAAAGTAGGGGTGCTTAATCTTTACTCTGCTTATTGAACATATGGAATATAATTATATCTGGTTAAATGCTCATGTCTACTATTTCTATCATCTATGTCATTTATCAAATTTTTCCTGTCGATTCATTTTTGTCTTCATTATGGCTCATTTTTTTCTTCTTTGTATGACTGACCATTTTGACTGGATACAAGACATTGGGAAATTTAACATGGTAGTGCTGGATGTTTCTGTATTCCTACACATATTCTTGAGTTTTACTTTTAACTTGTTAAGTTACTGGGAAATAGTTTGATCCTTTGAAGCTGGTTTTATATTTTGTTTATCAGGACTAGAGAAGCCTTTAGTTTGAGGTTACTTTTTCTCCACTACTTAGGACATAACTTTTTTTCATACTCTATGCAATACTCTGTGAATTGCAAGGTCTTTCATTCTGGAGGATGGGAACATAAACTAGATTTCCAGAAGTCTTTCTCTGTGCATCTTTCTCTTCTCTGATACTTTCCCATGTGAACTCAGGCCACCTTGGCCTTCTCTTATTCTTAGCTCTATCTCCTCATCTCAAAGAGACTCCCAGGTTCTGTGTGGGTGCCTCCTCCCTGAGCCTGAGTGCTCACCTCATTTGTTTCCCCTTCTTTCAGGGATCACTATACTTTGCTGCCTGATTCCAAAATCTGAAAGTCTTTGCTTCATATAGTTTGTCTAGGTTTTTTAGTTGTTTCAGGCAGTAGAGAAAAACTGATGTCTATAATTCTATTTTGCTCTGAGGCAGAAAACTAGTTTACCAATTTCTTAGTGAGGCAAATCTGTCTTAAATTTTGTAATGAATTGCCTTGTCAGAGAATCTAGCTTATTTTCACTGTGGATGGGGCAGAAAAAGAAGGTAATAGGCCCAGTGAAGCCTTTAAAAGATCTTAGAACCTAGAACCAAGAGCTAAAGCCCATCACCATTCAAAGAACAGGGCTTATCTTTCTATGTTATGATGAATTCTGAATACTCATGTGTTTCATTGGCAAATATTTCTAATTGGAATAAGTGGTAAGCAACAGCAGTGATTGCTGGAGGATTGGGGATTGGGTAGATACTGTTTCATGCTCACGGATGAGTAGCAGCCTTATTTCTAACTCTTCTTTGTGTCTGTTTGGGAAGACAGAGCACTTCAGGTGGAAAAAAATTACGTTTGTTTACTAAAAGGGCTAAAAGCCATGAGATATTAGTCCATTTATACGGGTGAGTGATTAAGTCTTTCTCTGTATCTGTTCCTATAGGAAATAATAGATCAAAATGAAGGGCAGGATGAATTCTTCACCAAACTCTTTGAAAAGGTACGTTGGCAAGGTATGGTAGTAGAGGAAGTGGAACAGGAGACAATTTAGAGAATATAATTTCTTCGAGCATTGGCTTTCATTTGCCTGATCCATTGTATAAGCTGTAATGTGCCATTACCTGTCCTCAAAACTGACACTTCCCATTAATGTTCTCAAGATTTTAAACAGTTGAGTAGAGCCATTGACTCTAGAAGGCTCCTGCGCAATGTCTATCTGTTCTTGGAAACTGCATTGATTAGTTGTAGGGGAAGTCTGTTTAGTCTTTGCTGACTGAGAAAATGGACTATGGCAGAGACTAAAATCAATTTTTGGAATGGGGGTAGGGTGGAGGATGAGAAGAAATTGACAATGACAAGCCCTGGGTGCTTGGAGAGGGCAAACTGAGAGAAGCCTAGGGAGAAGGTCACTTGGGTTGTGACCTGGAGAAGAGCTAAAACAGTTTTCTTCCATATCGGTGGTTTCCAAACATTTTCTGCTGCTGTCCTTTTATCAAATGAAATCCCATGGAGAATCCAAATATGTATCTTTATAGATAGATATCATAAAATTATATTATGAGTATACATAAGCTTTATAAGTTCAAATTTATGACTCTTATGTTTCCTCTCTATATTTTCATGTCAAGGGTGAATATAAAGAGCTGCTTTTGATTAACTGAAAATTGAAATCTGGAGTTTTGGATGATGACATTTTATTAACCATAAAATTCAAACCAAATTATTTATGAAACTTCTGAAGTATCTATATAGAACCCACTTTGAGTTCTTAAGGATTTTAGCCCACTGGGGTTCTCTGAACTTGCCATCTGGTTAAAAAAACATCTATAAAGCACAGACTAAATTACATTTGTAGCCACACTCATTTTGTGCAACATATGCATGTTACTTATTTCTACTCAGAAGGGTCATATATGCCATATTGAGCATGCACTGGAGAGGACCTTCCCAGTCATAGTGTGTCTTCCTCTTTAGATGGTGTCCCCTCTACCATCTAATGAACCTTCAGTAATGATGATTTTCTTCTGTCATTCTATTTCTTCTTTAGTATCCAGAAATAAATGCAGTTCAACTGCAGAATATCCTGAACCATATGACCTGGTCAAGTAAGTATTTCAGAGTCATCAGTAGGATGCAGAGGGGACACAGCTTTTCTGAACTCTGGCTCTGTTTCTCTTCCGCCTGGTGGGGTGTGTGAATTACTTGACGCCACCAAGTAGCTATGTTTTACACCAGGGCAGGTCATAATGTCTGACAAAGCAGTAAAAGTATTTATGCAGTGTTAAAAATAGTTATTTTCTTGTTTAATTTGGAAGAATAGAGAAATATAGCTATGGAAATGAAGATTTCGGCCATTTTGCTAGATTGAGAGGAATAGCTGTGTACGTCTTTCTAAGCATGTTAATTCCATGCCGAACAACTGCATCTATTTCCTTAATCCGGCAAATAAGCTCTCTGATGAACTTATATTTAAATTGATCAATATACAGTGATATTTAAAAGCCCATTGCAAATGGGTAACATGGATGCTTTCATATGAAGCCTGAGATGAACTATAAGAAAAGGCTAAAGTTAATATCAAAATATTTTATACCTATATTTGGAATGAAGAGAACATAGAAGAAATATACTGACTTTTCCAGGAAGGAGAATGAACATTAAAAATAAAACAAGTAAAACAATTAAAGGGGATTTGCTATCTGAGAAATATGATTGCTTCTCCTCCTAATGAAACCAAGACTTCAAAGCCAGATAAATTATAGCCCAGGGGGGTATGTAATTCAGGGTTTTAAAATCAGTTCCAGGTGATTTCTCAAAGCCAAATTCAGTTATCAGTGAAAAAGCCAGGAGAGATCCTAGAAATGATGTTATTTATGTTATTGTTATGTGCTGTCGAGTTGGACCCGACTCATAGTGACCTCTCCTTGGGTTTCCGAGGCAGTATCACTATGGAAGTAGATTGCTCAACCTTCCTTCACAGGAGTGGCTGGTGGGTTTGAACTGCCAGCCTTCTGGTTAGCAGTCAAGTGCCCTAGGCACTATGCTACCAGAGCTCCTTAGAGATGATAGAATATAAGAAATGTTCTCCCAAAGTATTCTGGGTTGGTTCTGTAAAAATTATCTGGAATACATGGTTTGTGCACATTTAAAGTAAAAAACACCTCAATCCCAAAGATGGCAAATAAGTTTTCAAAGAACATATGGGCAAGTTACATTCATTCAGTCCTTTGAGAGAGTTTGTGGATTGATAGATCAGAAAACTGTAGATTTTGGCCAAATATATATATTTTTTTTTTATTAGGATTTGGGTGAAGATTTACAGAGTAAATTCACTTTTCATACAGCAGTTCACATATACTTTGTCTCATGTCATTGACCAAAATTTA